GTGTGGCGGCTGTCGCTGTGAGAGTGATGGTGGGTACGTTGGTGGGGATGCTGGTTGGGTTGTCCTCGATTGGTGCTCCAAGGGGTTCGCCAGACCTGAACAATGTTTTTTTTTTTCCAGCAAGTATGTCAACAAACAACGGAAAACACCTTTATTATGTTGAATATAAAGTCATGTCACATTTGGAATTACCTTGTTTCTGCAAGCAATGGCTGAGGATGGACATCTATCAGTCACTTTTGGAATAATCTTGAACAACATTACTGTTCACTTTCTATCGCACTCATTTGTCCGCTTCACAAACACCAGCGAATATTGAATAAATCTCAAAAAAGAGGCTTCAATTTGATTACTGACACTCTCAGATGAGTGTCAAAGTTACTGTCAAACGAAAAAAATAAAACAGAGAGAATTACTTGTGCGTAAAAAAATAAATAAATAAATACAAAAAACATAACTTTGCCTTGGAACCCTCTAGCTTAATGCTAACACAAAACACCCTAGACTGGCTAATTAGTAGCATCTAAGCAGCTGTGTTATAACTCTTTTAAGAGTGGATATTTGAACACAAATGGCGCATCAGTGAATCAGTTAACAGGTAATATAACAATACTCACAGGCATATTTCCATTATCCTCTGCGAAACACGACTGCATGACTGTATTATACTGCTCTCGAGTAGCCAAGTGAGTGGACACCAGAAAGAGTCGCAATGTTGTAATTGTAATGTACATCCTGTTTATTTAATTATTTACATTCTATTTAATTCATTACTATATGTTTTTGAACGTCCAATATTATAAAGTGCTAGTTTCCTTGCACATTGCAAACATTTTTATTGAGTGTTTTGGGGTGACTGGAATGGATGACACGGCACTTCCACTCAATGTCTGTATCTGAACGATATTGTAATTGATCTGAGATCATTATTTCCTGATAGGCATTCTAGATTGGGGTACAACGTCCATTACAAAGACAGCGACTACTTGAGGGAATCAGGTAAAGTGTAGTGGAGTGGACATACTTGTTCCAAAGACAGATGGTTGGTGGCAGCGCCCTCAGCTCCTCCTCTCCTTTTAGGTACCTGCCCTGCACTCCCGGCATGCTCGGAGGAGGGTGCCAGGTTGCGTTTGGAGCGCTGCAGGAAGCGAGCCATCAGGACTCGAGTCACCTTGCGGTGGACAGGTTACGAGATCAGTATGGAAAGATTAACATGAACGCGTAAAACAAGACACAGTGACCTTTGTATACAGAAAGACCTCTGCACTGTGAGGTCGACTCGCTAATCAACTGTGTGTATGGGTGTTGATATCTGAGGACCTTTGACAGACAAACCTTGAGGTCACCAAGTGAGCGGTGGTAATCTTTGGGCAAACGCAGGGGAGACGCCGGCGGGGCTTTGGAAGGAACTTGTACCCCCGGATCTGTGGATTTCATGCTATCTTTTCTTGGTAAAGCGGTAGCCGGCGGCAAAGATGTAGGGGGCAGCAGGAGCGCCTCGTTGGATGGACCTTAGGAGAAAATGAGATTTGTGCCTGCTTTATTTTTTGTCAAACCCCCAAAATAAAACACGTAATTTCACGTATTCTTTTTTGTCCTTGACAGAAAAAGACTTACAGAGGTCCAGATAAATGTCATTTTCTCCTCATGTTTGTATTAAGGCATTTGAAATTATCCTTATAAAATTCTGTCTTTATAAAATTTAGCCAATATTACCTGTGTCTGGAGACGCTTTATTGCACCCATAGCTCAAGTCCACTGGAGGAGAAAGGGCAAAAAGACATTTTTAATCCATAATAAAGCACTTTCCAAGGGACCCAAGGAAGCTTAACAACACTTTGCAGCCGGGCCTTATTTACCGGCAGCTATAGAGGAGCTGAGGCCCGGCTCACTGCGTGACCTCATGATGCTTAGGAGGCCTTCGTTGTCATTTCTGCCACTCTCGCCGTTATTTCTCCCGGCCCGTCGTCGCAGGTGCAGAGTCTGGCGCTGTAATGGAGGTCCGCCATTCTGACCCACCCACTGCTCGCCGTTGTCATGGGCACCTGCTTGGCGTAAAGGAGTGGAAGGGCGAACTTGGATGTCCGGTATGGTGGATTTCTGTTGTGAGGCGGATCCCGCTATGGCTCCCAACTGAGAACAGCTTCGAGCTAGCATAGCCTGGCGCCGCAACACTGGAGACCTTGAGGAGCGAACAGTAGTAAAGACCATTGCGAGTTACACTGTAGGCTGTAAATTGTGTTCGGAAACATTTTCTTTTTACCATACACCCATTGAGTTAATCATATTACACCAGAACATTCTAAATGTTAGCCTAATAACATATTAGCCCAAGTCATTCTGTTGCGATATCAATAAAAAAGTAAGGTGGTGCTGTACAGTAAGTTATCTATCGTTGATAGATAGATGATACACTTTTGACCTGAATAACTTTACGAACAACTACAGTTTAGTTAGCTTAATGGGTCAGCTTCCTAACTGAACTGAATTTAAAAAAAAAAAAAGCTTGCTGTGTGTTGCAATTGACATGATTGAACCTTCAGGACTGGAGTGTAAAATGTCAAAGGTGTCAGATGGACTCTGGGATTGGATTTTTCCCACCCACCTGTACGTGGTGGTCGCAGTGCTGGGTGAAGAACACGAGTTGGACCTCTCTCCTCTAAGAAAACGTCTTGCTCTTGGTCCTCCGGCCAGAGGACTTTCCGGCGTCTGTGACCGAGGAGCACGGAGGCTGAGGCGCTCCGTTCCGCCGTCCGGCCCGTCGCTCACCTCACTGGCCGTCCTGCTGGCCCTGCCGCCTTGATTCCTCAGCGCCACCTCCAACAGACACGAGTCCTCAGACGGGGACGAATCATCGGGGATGTCTACGATCTCTGACATGAGCAGAGACCCGCTGTCCATGGAGACTAAAATGTATGAAGTAAGGGGAAAGGAGTTGGCATCTGGCTTCATTTTCTTGATCGATCGTGAGAAAATCACTGAATCAATTCCAGTAACTGGTATCTTTTTAAATGTGTTGATATAAGAATATGTATCTGTTCTGAACTCCTGTTTCCATGTCAGTACATGAATGTAGCTCGACCTCTCATAGTCCATTTGACTTCTTTGGACAGCAAATTTGAAACTGAAATCACGCACACTGCAGACAGCAGCATGAAAAGAGAAACCTGTGGAGGGAGCCAAGGCCAAAACACTTTTATTCTCCGACATTCATGAAAAGAACCACGGAGCTTCATACATAATATGGAAAAATGGTCGTTTTACCTGCTATTTTTTTCTTCCAAGATAATACATTACCACAATATCAATTTGGACCAAAGTGAAACTAGCGTTGGAATTCCAGCCGTTTGATAGAGTAACAACAGCGCATCCATTCATCCAGGATTCGGATAAACACATTTCTAGCCTGGAGTAACTTTGCAAATATGTAAGTCATATTTTACAGGAATGTATTAATAATTCACAGCTACAAGAGGATCCATCTGCGAGGGGTTGCCAGATCGATTAATAATACAAGACCCCTCGTGTGGACTGTCACGTACAATTGCTGTTTATGGTGTCTATTAAAAAGAAAAAGTGCACTTGCATGACATCTTTTGGAAAGACTAAGTGCCTTGTTGGTTATTTCTCTTTCACATCAAACCACATCCTCTCTGTTTCTTCCATCTACTGTATATTTGCTGTTGTAATCAGACATCCATCCCTTTTCTATTCCAGTTACTCATTAAGGTTTATCCCAGTTGACCTTGGACCAGTCCCCAGCTTTTTAGCAAGAACCTTTCACACTCACATTCGCATCTTTGGGCTATTTTTGAGTCTTCAATGAACATAACATGCATGTTGTTTGGAATGTGAGCGGAAGCTTGAGTAAAACCCACGCAGGCGCAGGGAGATCATTCAAGATGATTCGTAGAACTGTGAAAGACACTTGCTAACGAGTAGGCCCACTGTGCTTGTAATCAAACAAAAGAATTCAAAGCAATGTGAAATGAATGAGGTTTTTATCATTCATGATGATAGTAATTTGGAATAAAGATGAATCTTTCTCTTGTTCCTGCCAACAAGTGCAACCTCAGGCTGGATGCGTACAGAAGAAGAAGAGTTGCTTGTGGTCCCGCTTGCTAACCAGGCTAAGTAAGTTTATACATTGAGTTCAATTTTGCCTTATATTTGCTTTGTTGTTTGATATGTTTGCGATAAAGGCTGTGGCAGAGTGTCAGTTCGATGCGATTAGAATTTTCCGCAACAATGAAGCAACTAAACGGGTGCTTAGCTAGCATTAGCACACTTGGCTGGGTAAACAGCCACCATGAATGTTTCATACAGGACTATCCGCAGTTATTGTTGATGTTTTTGGAGTTTGTAATTCTGGAAGTGGTCTGATGTCACTGTAAAAATTGTTTGGGGGGAAACGGAAAATGGACATACCACGAGCGTTAAAGGTCTCCTCCATGAGATAATGCCAACTATCCCAGATGCCACCACCTACAAAGACATACAGTGATAAATAGAAGCTCTATGACCTCACTTACGGTGGGTATAAAAAGTCTACACACCCTCTTTCAAATGCCGGGATGCTGTGATAGAAAAAAAACCCCTCAGTTCCAGTGTCAAGCATGATATTGGCACTACCATGCTTCAGTGTTGCCGAACAATTGACTTTAAGTCCAAATTTGGTAAATGTATGAACTGAAATTTTTGAGCACTTGTTGGAAAAAAAAAAAAAAAAAGTGTCTGTGTGCACTCACCAGGTGCACAAGATCCAGGGAGAAAATATGGATGCTGCAGGTAACCGTGGACAGAGTGCAGATGATGGTGGAAAGAATGCTCAGACCACACGCGCTAAACAACAAGTCCTGCAGAACAATATAGAATATCTTCAGCTCTTTTCGCTCTTGCGGCAGACGCAACCTCCTTACCTTCAGTTGATGTCTAACCGAGTGGCAGTCTGAATTCAGGTTGAGGACAAGGGTTCCATCCTCTTTGCTGGAGCAGGGTTCCGCGGCCACGCAACACACACAACGGCCGTTCTCTATCTACACACAAAGAGTGAGAAGTCAAGACACTGCGGAACGATCTGACCAAACTATGTCATCAATTCCTGGAATGTTCCATCGCGCATCTGTTTCGAAGGGCATTTTAGTCTGTGGCTATGACTGCGTTTGTACCTCACAGGTGAGCATGGACTTGACCATCTGTGCGTTCTGACAGGAGAGCATGGAGCCGGCCAAACTGAGGATCACGCACACTGCAGACAGCAGCATGAAAAGAGAAACCTGTGGAGGGAGCCAAGGCCAAAACACTTTTATTCTCCGACATTCATGAAAAGAACCACGGAGCTTCATACATAATATGGAAAAATGGTCGTTTTACCTGCTATTTTTTTCTTCCAAGATAATACATTACCACAATATCAATTTGGACCAAAGTGAAACTAGCGTTGGAATTCCAGCCGTTTGATAGAGTAACGACAGCGCATCCATTCATCCAGGATTCGGATAAACACATTTCTAGCCTGGAGTAACTTTGCAAATATGTAAGTCATATTTTACAGGAATGTATTAATAATTCACAGCTACAAGAGGATCCATCTGCGAGGGGTTGCCAGATCGATTAATAATACAAGACCCCTCGTGTGGACTGTCACGTACAATTGCTGTTTATGGTGTCTATTAAAAAGAAAGCGCATCCATTCATCCAGGATTCGGATAAACACATTTCTAGCCTGGAGTAACTTTGCAAATATGTAAGTCATATTTTACAGGAATGTATTAATAATTCACAGCTACAAGAGGATCCATCTGCGAGGGGTTGCCAGATCGATTAATAATACAAGACCCCTCGTGTGGACTGTCACGTACAATTGCTGTTTATGGTGTCTATTAAAAAGAAAAAGTGCACTTGCATGACATCTTTTGGAAAGACTAAGTGCCTTGTTGGTTATTTCTCTTTCACATCAAACCACATCCCCTCTGTTTCTTCCATCTACTGTATATTTGCTGTTGTAATCAGACATCCATCCCTTTTCTATTCCAGTTACTCATTAAGGTTTATCCCAGTTGACCTTGGACCAGTCCCCAGCTTTTTAGCAAGAACCTTTCACACTCACATTCGCATCTTTGGGCTATTTTTGAGTCTTCAATGAACATAACATGCATGTTGTTTGGAATGTGAGCGGAAGCTTGAGTAAAACCCACGCAGGCGCAGGGAGATCATTCAAGATGATTCGTAGAACTGTGAAAGACACTTGCTAACGAGTAGGCCCACTGTGCTTGTAATCAAACAAAAGAATTCAAAGCAATGTGAAATGAATGAGGTTTTTATCATTCATGATGATAGTAATTTGGAATAAAGATGAATCTTTCTCTTGTTCCTGCCAACAATCAATTCCAGTAACTGGTATCTTTTTAAATGTGTTAATATAAGAATATGTATCTGTTCTGAACTCCTATTTCCATGCCAGTACGTGAATGTAGCTCGACCTCTCATAGCCAGCGTCAATTTGACTTCTTTGGACAGCAAATTTAAAACTGACTCAACAACGCTTTTGCTGGTTGGCAGCCAAGAAATACGCTCGACTGTTTTGCCTCCCTCAATTCCTTCAAGAGACGATCAATCAACACTCAACCCATTGACTCCTTCACGATGAATGCATCGATTGAATATTTTTACATTATGTGTAAATAAATCCTGACTCACCTTCTCCACTGAACGCTGTCGATGTCGCTCGCTCTCCGGACAGCTCAGCGCCGTGTTGGTCGAACATTGTTGCCTTGACACACACAAAATGTCACCGGAAGCATCACCACAGTGCCACTTATGTGCATTAAAAAAAAAAAAAAAAAAAGAAACAATATT